CCAGACTTCAGTCCCATGATGTAGGAGGACCACAAGTGGAGGTACAGCCTGGGGAGCCCCAGCAAGAGATGAGGCACTTCTAAACCTGAGGCCCAAATGTGCCAAACAGGAGAATCCTGAACTGCTCAACAAGATGATAAGAAAGGAGTTTATCAGTACAGGTAGTTGACCATCTGAGTGCTGAGAGAATCATTTAACGCTAAGAGAAATAACATTGATTGCTTACAAGTTTAACCTCTTTTTGTCACCAGCATTGAGACTGATGAAGCTGGTCCCTTTCTAGGGCATCTTTACACAGACACAGACATACAGTGGAGAGGATCCAATGTAAAAGAAAAAAAACCAAACAAAACAAACAGTGCAAGCAAGATTTTCAGGGCTATATAATTGTCCTGAGTGAGGGGCAGTAATCACTCAGTGATATTTCAGTAATTCAAATTCTCCAGCCTTAAGAAGTTTTAGGAGGAAAATTCTAACATGCAAAAAAATCCACTGTGATCTTAAGTAGAAGACAAAAGGGCTAAAAACCACACCACCACTCCTGTCCCTCACTGTTGATTCTGATAAAAGTTTTAACCAGAAACTAACACTCCACGCATTCTACAAAGGAGAAGGAAAGTTTTGAGAGCTGGAAGCTGGCTTATTTGAGCTGGACAGGTTTCATCTGGCTATCATTGAGGAAGACTTTGAGTGTACTTTCGTTTCTTTTAAACACAAGTGTTTTTACCATGTATCACAGGTACTTAGGCAGGCAGTGTTCACTGTATAAACCCAAATCATTAAATGGCCCTTGGCCACTGCTTAAAGTGAGACAAGTATCTGCCTGAGCTATATACTTAAATGTTTAAGAGAGGAAAAAAAGAGAGACAGAGTTAATAGAAATCTCAGAGCACTAATAATGCAAATGTAACTCCTGGAAGGTGAGCTACTGAATGGTGCATCCAGAAATACTTAGGAGGAATCTAAAAATAGTGAACAAGGTGCTTTGAAGGGGTCACCAGTGGGTGTGAAGGACAAACACAGTGTTAAGAGAAAACCCTCGAACCTTGCTGGGTTGCCTGAGACCAGAGCCAGGGGGAGAACAGGTCCAGAGCAGGTGTTAGATGGTCCAGCTTTCAGGTATTTTTGAACACACTTGTCTGTAAGCCTGCTGCCCATGTTCCCAGCTCTTGATGATTGTATCTGCCTCTCCTTGTCATTAGCACGCTTTTTTTGGTGGGAATTGTAAAGAAACATTTAATTGTGACTGAAGGAACACTCCACCAGGGAGTGTGAGAAGGCTGATTTCATTGAATTAGAGATTTCCATGAGATTCTAAGGAGTAGCACAGAAGTGAATATACAGGGATGGTCCATGTGGGCCACAGAACATCTGATTCCTTTTGGAGGACAAGCTTTCTATTCATTACATAGTTCAGGTATGTTTCTAGTTTTCAACTCCAAAAGATTAGAGTGATTCCCCAGTGGTTTGGGGTTGTGTTAGCATTCTTGGATTCTTTGGGGTTTATTTAACCTCCTTCCCTATAAGTATGGCCTCTGCAGTCTGAGATGTTTCCTTTTTCTGAGAGTGAGCAGGCAGTTTGTCCCCATTCAGTATTCCTATATACAGTTAAATTTTATGTGAGGCATAATCATCACTTCCTGTCTCAGCTACATTAGTCTCTTCCTGTATACCAACTTATAATCAATATACATTTGGGATATAATACAAGTTTCAAGCTTGCTGCTGAAATATTCTTGCATCAGAGGTGTACAGAAAACGTCTCAGTCTGATGTGTGTGGCTACATGTCCCCACACTACATTGTCCAGTAGTGCCCAGTTTGTACTTTGCAAACAGCACCAGACCAGCCAGTGATGAGCCTCTGTTCCACTGGCTGCTGTATTTTCAAGTATAACAAAGGGGTACCTTTGATGACCACAAACACAAGTGCTTGCATTTATATCTCATTCAAGTCTAATGGCACTCTAGATGCCCAAAAATCAAGTTAATTATATGGTGCACAAGATGCTCAATACTGCCTTCCCCTCCCAGGACACAGTCCTAGTATTCTACACCAACCATGTCTTCAGTGAAAGCCTCTTTAAATATGTCTTCCTTAATACAACTAAGGCAGCTCCTTATCAAGTCTCTCCATACATGTAGTCTCAGGGGTTTTTGTTTTGGGGGTTTGTTTTGTTTCGGTTTTGTTTGTTTGTTTTTTTTTTCCTCAGACCAAATCCAAAATCCCTCTGATTTTGAACATTTATTAGGCTTTAGCACAAAGGTCACCCACAGAACACAACCCAGCTGGCTGCAGGGAGAGCCCCTCGCCCTCAGCCCTGCTGCAGGTGAAGCCCCAGGTGCTCCCGGGGAGCGCTGACAACGGGGGATGAGGGAATGAGATGGGAATGAGATGGGCAAGGGGAGCCTCAGCTTGCTGCTGCCAGAGATCACGCAGGTGTCGCTGGAGTCTGGTTCTGCCACCTGAGGCTGAGGTGTCCCCTCAGCCAGTGTCCCGGCGCAGCGGGGACGCAGCCTGTAAGGATGCAGCCAGTGTGTCCTGCTGCCTCGAGCCTTGGGCTGCGGCGACACCTCCCGGGAGCTGATGGCGCAGGAGCAGCACCCACTGCTCCTGTCCGATCCACCAGTTACAGACAGCCTTTTGATTTTTAACATGGGGTCCAGAAACTTTCCCTGTTTGACATTTGTTAGGTTCATTCCTCAAAGAAGTCGCCCTTTGTTTTACTACCAGGAAAGCTCCTGATCTTGCACACAACACCATTATTAAGCTTGTAGAAGACAAGATTCTAAGCTCTTTTCTATAGAAGGTACCTGGAATTTAACTGCAAAGTGGGTGAAAAATGCTTGAACAGTGGTAGTTAAGAGCCCTTTTTGCTTCTTAACCCAGTCAAATGCCTAGAACATTTACCTGTATGGACAAACGCTGGCACTGGTGGTTCCTGGAAATGGATCATAGGGATCAATAAGTACCTGCACTCACTAGGAAAACTGTTATGCCCCAGTTCAGCCCAAAGACTCCCCAAATTATACAAAGCCTTTGTTCTGTTTATGACGTTTGAAAGGTGATGTGTGAGAAAGGAGGACTCTCTTGGGGAATCCTTTGGTAAGTCATTTGTGGTATGACTGGGTAAGCGTTCCCACATCAGCCCCTGTGCAGGTTCCTGTCAGTGGTGTCTGTCACACTCCAGAGAGTACTGAGAAATTAAAACCCCAGTCAAAGGCAGAAGCTTCCAAAATCTGAGCAGCAAGGAAGAGCACAAAATGTCCTTATCTTCCTGCTGATGACTTGGGCACACTTAGTAAAACCAAATGCCCTCTGTAGTTCCTCACACCCCAATGGGATGCCAGTCCTTTACCAGGGGAGCAGTCTGATCACTCCAGGACAGAAGCCTCACAGTCCTAGCTGGCTCTTTGGGGGAATTCCAGTGTTTGTACACCAACATAGACCTAAGGATGCAAAATTATCCTGCTAAGCTCCCTTTGTAAGCAAAACCTGGGATTTCACACAGACTCAAGTTGTGGGGACACCAGCTACTGAGAACAAGAAACAGGACTGACTTCTTCATGTCACTGCAGAGACCCCTCCTGTCAGATCAGTCACATCCTGTCTCCTGAGCATGTTTCATTCAGGAAAGAATGGTTCTTGCTACACTTCAGAAATAAATACATAGCGGTATCATTACATTCAGACATAAAAAAGCAGATTAAATCATCTGAGTTCAAGCTGAAGTGGGACTTTAAAGTGTTCTGCCAGCTTGGACTCTTGCTGTCAGTTGCTGTGCAGTGGGCAGTGGGACAGCACAGTATCTAAGCACTCTCACTACTTTTTCCCCAGAAATGAGTGCTAGAGTTGTAACAGCAAGAGTATTCCTAGATGCTTGTTTTTCAGTCTCAGCTCTTGGCCATAGGGTTTTTTTTCCCCTCCTTAACAGAATGGCACAGTCTTCAGCCTCCTCCCCTGGTTCCCATCTTCTTTGGAAAATAAACAGCTCTGATTGTTGTGCACTTGAGATTATGAAAACATCAAGTCCATTAGTATTTGGCAAAGTGCTCTCTCATTTCCTTCTGATGTAATAATTGAGAGAGAGGGAGCGGAGACGGCAAAGATAGCACAAGGCATAAGTTAATGACCTTCTCACATGTATGTGTGGGCTCTTTGAGAGGGAGCCTTTTCCAAGCCCCATCTCGCCTCCACTCATACTGTTTCAGCTGAAATACTGCTTCAATATGGCTTTTATTATTTGATCTGATGTCCCTTGGCCAGCCTTCAGAGGCAGCTAAATGGCAGGCAGGTGTGGGGGGCTAAGAGACAAAAAGCAAATGGAGCTAATGTTCCAGCAGGCCTGCTGCATGCAGGCCCTCGGCTCCAGCTCCACAGGCAAATGCTACTGGTGCCCAGCTCCTCTTGCCTGCTTTGGTTTCACTTACACATTTAAGTCTAGAGGGGGAATGCATCCTGCTTCGCTCTCAGAGGGAGATTCTTTGGAAGACTGAAGGCCTGATAAAAATCAGGACGTGGGTGGAATGGCTGAGTGTAGAAAGAGATCAGCTGTAGATAGAAAATTAACTGAGGTCAGTGGTTGCTACTCTGTAGGTGCTGGATTGGCCACCCACTTGATTGCCAAATTTGTGGCTTCACTTTGGGTGCCTAGGGCCAAATTAAAGTGGGATAAATTCCACAGAAGGGTAGTGGAATTTTTCCATGTCCATATTGTTCCTTGCTGACTTTCTCAAGACTTTACTGTAGTCTTTTGAAGTGCTTGTAGAAGCCTCCAGAGATGTGTAGCTTTCCACATTAGCTTAACTGGAACCTAAGCCAAAAATCTCATTTTATTTAAAAAAAAAAATCTGAATTTGACAGCTGAAGTTTTAGATTAATAAAAGAAAATAAAGATTAGCCTTTGCCAAGTAGTCCCCTTTGAGGGCCCCACCTTGAAGTGACAAGTCCCTGGGCTACCTGAGCCAAAAGGTGATAATATGGATACTGCTCTTCCTCTAGGACATTGAAGACAAATCCTTCCCTGTACCAAGTATCCCTCCTCCCACTGGATTCACACAGTCAACACTCTGGAAAGAGGAAGCCTGTGAAGGATCACAAGGGGATTTCAGTGGGGTACTCCCTCCTGCAGCCAAGGGCTTCTGTCAAGGACTGACTGGAACTCGGAACAACCTCGTGTAGTGGAAGATTCCCTGCCCATGGCAGGGGGATGGAACTGGAGGATCTTTAAGGTCCGTTCCAACCCAGGCCGTTCTGTGATAAAGGATTACTGATTTCTGTGAAGGATTGACAGCAGTGCCGGAGGGCAATTCCACGCTTCCTGGTGCCTAGAGAAGGAGTCCTTCCCCTTTCCCCACAAGTAAGGTTATCCACCTCTTCCCTCTGTACCTGAAAGTGTTGCAGTGGGTGAGTTAAGCAAGTTAATTTGATATAATCCAAGTCTCAGCAGGTTTGAGCTGGCCCCTGTTTGCCACCACAGCACCCTGGACTTATGTTCCAAGGCAAACCATGTGTTCTTTGTGCAGCATCCTTGGAAGACTGCTGCGTGGGGATAAGTTTTACCATCTTTTCACCTCCCATTCAAAAAGGAACTGACGAATTATAGGATTGATCTGTACCAGAAGACACATTATTTTTAAGAGGCCCTTTTGAAGGTCCCCCAGTTGGTTTCAGGGATTTGTAGCAGTCCTTCCCTGCCAATCTAATATACCTTTATATTTGTTAATGAAAAATTTCATATCAGAAAAATGTGCTTTTCCAGACCTAGCTGCAAGGATAGCTGTTTCCTTCCTCCCTGTACATTTCCTCCCCTCATATTTTATAGATGCAAAGGCATATACATTCTTACTCCTTTCTGCCATCCTTACACGGCTATAGTTTTGATTTCATTGATTGCACACACCAGTGTCTGCAGAGCTACCTTAAGTAAGTCAAAGCCCTTGGGAATTCAAGGTGAATACATTTTTCTCCTTCAGATACCTTGTTTTAGTTAAAAGCCATTGCGGCTGCTCCATAACAAAACCAGACACAGTGGGCCCCATTGTCCGGCTCTTGGCCAAGGTAGCATGTATGGATTAAGTGATGAATTGCAAAAGGGGCCTAAAAGCCAAGCTGTAACTTCACAAAAAGGCCATTAAAGGTGAGCACTGTCAGTGAAGTGCCCATTCAGAAGGGCTTTTATGACCCTCGGTGTTCTAGAGACGCTCAGGAGCTACAAATGGTTCAGGCTCCCAGACTTGCTGTCCAAGTAACACATCCTGAGCTGAACCTGCCTGGGAGAGCTGCTCCTTGCAGGGATGGGGATGGGACACCGGCACTATCTACATCCAGCAGGTGAGAAAAAGCAGCACTTTGGTCCTGCTCAGACATAAGAAGTCATGAATTTAACCTCAAGGTAAAAAAACTGGGGAGAACAAAAAAGAACAAAAAATGAAAGCACACACTTTTGGGGATACTTTTACCTCCTAAACTTCACCCTCATCAATTTTGAATAAAATCTAATTTTGTCTCTTTTCATACATTCCTTCATATGGTTTTCAGTGCATCTCTAAAGCATCATCATTTCAATTATTGACACTTCTTTAAGCATGTCTTAGAATTTTGTATAGAGTGGAGGAGTCTGCATAGCTTAGGTGACAGAAAATAGCTCACCTGTGGACTGGGATGTGCACATCCTTTAGTGGCATAAAGCTGCTAGAGGTAAATTGTGCCTGAGTTCCCTTACACTCCATATTAGTCTCTGAAAGATGAAGGAGAATGAATTAAACCTGAACCTGATTGTTTCTATCAAGCTTTAAAAACACAGTTCATAGAGCAGCAGATTCATTACAAATATTTTGATTGCTCCCTGAAAGAAAAACATGCAACTTTATTCTTTGTAGGGGAACTGAAAGGAGTGGTTTGTTGACTTCTTTGTGGTGCTTTAAAATCTGCAATTCAGTGCACTTGTGAAATGTTGGATTATGATGGTTTGAAATAATTTCAACTCAAAGTAAGTAAATCTACCCAGGCTGGAGCATTGGCTACCTCATACAGCTGAAGTGAGCAGTCATTTCTCACCTGGAATCCAAAGCTGAGAGGTGTTTTGGGGCAACTGCAGTTTAGCTTGAACTACATTCAGCTCTTGGCTGAATTTAGTGTTTCAGACAAGACATGTTGAGGGCATTTATTTTCTTCACAGCAGCAGCTGCTTTTCTGATACTGCTTTTCTGAGATCTAAGCTGTCTTTGCTAAGATATCCTTACTTGGACCTGCGCTGGCCCTTAAACCCCAAGTTCCTGCTTTAGTCCAGTTGTAATGGTGAGCTGAGCTATCTCTCTCTCTCTGGTTGAGAAGAGCCGGGGCTGGAAGCAGCTGGGTGAACTTTTACCAGTTTGGTTGCAGTTATTTGCTGTGATGCTGCTGCTCCTCCATCAGCAGCTCCTGCCCCAGCACCCAGCCAGACACAGGCTCTGCTCAGCCCTGAGGAAACAACTCCCCTGGCAGCGTGCCTGTGTTTGGGGCTTCACTCTGACATGTCATAGCCTCACACATTGCTGGGGAGGTGTTGGAAAGGCACCGCAGCCTCTCTCTGAGCGGTGCTCTTTAAACTTTCTACTGATTAGGGGCCTTTTAGCACTCAGCTGGCTTTTCCTAATGGATTTTGCCTTTTCATTGAGACTATTTTTTTTGCAGGCGTTGCCAAAGTAAACAGTCACGGATGGCTATTTGGAAAGCAGGGGAGAGAAGAAAGGGACACAGAGTCAGGACTGGTCCAAATGTGTCCAGACAAGCACTATACATCAGCTGATATGTGCTGGGGGCCAAGTGCTGCCAGAGTTAAAATTTCTGAGAAAAGGAATCCATTTGTTGAGAGACAGGCACAATAGATACAATTGCAAGGTCTTCTTTTGGATCAAAGATGCCACGTCTGAATTCTTGAGCCTTTAAGGGGAGCAGGGTGTGAGCTTGGCATTAATCAGCCCACTTATGATGTATTTCCAAAGTCTTGAAGTCAGAGGAGGTGTTTGAGTAATTCCAAGCTTACAGAGTTCAAGCATATCAATCCTTCACTGCTCTGAAGCAGATAATTTAGCCTTCAGCCAGCTCACTGTGTGGGAACCTATCAGACGCTGTCCTAAATGAAACTCCCTTCCTCTGCGCTGTTCTGGTCCGTGGATATTGCACATCTCTGCAGAAGTTCAGAATTTGATCCAAGGCAGCAAAGAAAACTGGGTACAGTGGCTCTGTCCCCAGCTGGATCAGTGTGCCTGGAAACTTTTGTTTAGGCTCTGGATGCACTGCAGAAGTGTTTTAGGGATGTAGTATATTTATGGCCTGCATTTTATATCAGGCTCTGAAAAGAGTTCCAAATTTTACAGTTCTTCTCTGCTGCCTTGATATGAACTATGAGAGGAACAAAGCAGACCTTTTGTGTAGGAATATCTTCTTTTCCTGTCCCATCTCTGCACTGATTTGCTCCTTAGTTAAGCCAGCTACTGAATGTCTGCTCTTCTTCCTCCTCAGATTAACTACCAGAGTTCAGCCTTCTCGCCTTCAGCTGGGTCGTGTTCCTTGCTGGAAGCTTCGGCTTTGTTTCATCTTACAAAGCAGTGAGGGTTCACCTGGCTCCTTCTGGTCAGATGAGCATAATTCATGTACAGAGCTTGGCCTACTGACAGCTAGACCTGATCAGATGTCTCAAGTGCTTAGGAGTCCTGCAGCCTCCTCTCCCCACAGCAGAGTCACCAGAATGTCCAGGGGCAGGCTCTCATGTGACTTTGATCCATGCCAGGGATGGATTCCAGATGGATACTTCCCCAGCGTTGGCCTACAGGCATGTTTCACACAGCATTGATGGGGTGTTAACGATGCTAAAATTTCAGCCAAGCTCCTCAGACATGCTGGGCTGGGAATGAAGAGAGGAGCTCTTTAATAAAAACCTGATGTAGACCGGGCACTTCTACCTGTAGTGCAGCCAGAGGAGCCATCAGGGCACCTGGAAGAGGGAAGTGAAGGTGCAGCCCCTGCCTGTCACCAACTCACTGAAGCACCAGTGGATCTCAGCATTCCCAAGACTCTGGCTGGAATCAGGTCTAGGATTAAGCCATTTTTTGGATGGTGCAGGGTGGTGTGCAAGTGGTGGCTTGATCCTGTGGGGTCTGGAGGGGATTTGCCCCTGGGAGCTGCGAGGTGGCCCAGGGTAAGAGGAGCTGAGGGAAGGATCAGGCACATCCCCATGGAGCTGTGGCTGCAGTCCTGCTTCCAGCTCCCCACAGGGCCTGCAGTGCTCTGGGACATACACAGAGCTCAGAGCAGTCCTGGGAAGGGGCTCAGGGTCTGCTCTCCCCTGCCCTCAAGTCCTGCCTGATTCCTGGGGGGACATGCCCCAGGCAGAATGGAGCTGAGCCATTGGCCTGGGCTTGGGCTGCCTCAATGGCATTACCACACACCTGCTGGGGTAATTTTTGGCTCAGACATCCCACTTCTTTTTTCATGGAGTGAATGATCCTGATCTTCAGCCTAGTTTAGAGGCCATTCCACATCTATGTGTTTGGCTTAATGTTTTAGGTTTTGTGTATGTGTGTGTGTGTGCCTTACTATGAATTCCTTCTGATATTTTATTGGCCAGTTCCACAATATTCTGGGATCTCTCTTTAAATCTTTGCAGAAGGCTGTAGTTTTTGTTGTCCTAAATAATTTTATATGCTCTTGACTAAAGTTTGCAAGCTAATGCTTGCAAAGCATTCTGCTGCCTGAGAGCCTTAAAATGAACCAGAGCTCCAGTGAGCCAGTGGCATTGATTGTTACACAGGCAAGGAGTAGCAAAGCCAACAGTTTGCCCAAAATCCTGCATTGGTTTTGGCAGCTTTAGAGTTTTGATATTTCCTCTCCTCTCAATCCCTTTAGCATGCCTTCCTTACTTGCTTACTAAATCTGGAGCTGGTCTTCTAATTAACTGCACCCTTAATAACTACAAAGCCATTGCTTAGGAGGTTGAAGGGGTGGCAGTAGTTGCACAGAAACCTGGAACAGCAGTTCCATTCCATGAATGCTGGCCTCAGGCATTCTGAGGTTATGCATTAACACTGAGTGCCAGTGCCCCTCACCTGCACAGGCACCCCAGGCTGCCATCTCCAAATCTCCAAAGGAACAGGGAACTGGGGTGGAGGAGCCCACACCAGAGTGCTGCACAAGGAACAGAGGTCACCCAAAATACCCCTCCCTGATTAGGAATCTAGACTATACAGCAAAGGATTTGTGCTCCTGAATGGACAGGGGACTCATCCAAGTCACCTAAATAACAAAAGCAAAGATATTCTAGGAAAATGAGAAAAACATCCTCTCAACTTCTGGCTGAATTTGTTTAGGGAGGGAAGGTTGTATTTTGTGGAAAGGGATGCTCACTTGTGTGGGATATTTCTTTTAAATAAAAGTAATATTTCACTAGTGAAAGGTACCAACATCAAAAACAAGTCAGCAACACAAAGTTCAAAGAGAAGGGCAAACCAGTGATGATGAGGGGAATCTCCAAGCAAAGGAGGGGTGTCTGTCCCTCTATTGCCAAAAAAGTGAAAGGGCCCTTGGTGGTATGAGTTGTTTTCCACTTGGGCTCTCCCTGTTCTTTACAGCTCAACTGACCCTGAGACCAGGCTTGGGCCCATACAGGTCCCTTTTCTGTCCCCTGCCTGTCCCTGGGTACTCAGGCAGTGCAGCAATGCCATTGCAGCATGGGGCACTGCCGTGTGTGCCATTGCAGCATGGGGCACTGCCGTGTGTGCCACTGCAGCATGGGGCACTGCCGTGTGTGCCATTGCAGCATGGGGCACTGCCGTGTGTGCCACTGCAGCAGAACCCTTCCCCACACACTGCAGCCTAATGGGGAAAGAAATCCAAGGGCAATTACTTGGACCTGAAATGTTGCTGAAGCCAGGAGGCTGGAGAGCTGCTCGCAGCACCGTTCTTTTAGCACTTCCATGGGCCATTACCCTGCTGGGATTAAGAACCCCCTGCCCTGCCATGCGCACCCTGCCCCATCACCTGCCTCTCCCAGCCTCTCTTTTCCCCAGGCACTAATGAAATTACCACCGAGACTGATTACAAGTGGGGTGGAGCACTTTGACCAATGAACCCACACCTGCTCGCGTGGTTGACCTTTAATGATCCAGCTCTGTCGCTCTGCAGTTTAATTTGGTTTTTTAAAGCCTGGTTTAGGGAGAAGCTGCAGTTTCATTTGCCATCAAAACGCGACCCCTGCTGGAGGACCGAGGATGTGACTTCCAGTTATTCATATGGACAACCCCACACACAGAGCGGCACAGATGTGATTAATGTGATATGATACAGCTGTCACTGGCTGCAGGCAATCACAAACAACTAAAGGAAGGTTGGCTTAAAGAGACTTCTTATTCACCCAACAGCAAAGGTAAAAAAAGGTTTTCTGGATATTGTTTTTTGGTTGGTTGGTTGTGGTTTTGGTTTTATTTTTGGGTTTTTTCATGCATGGGATTGTGTTTTACAGAATTGCAGGAACCAGTGGGTTTTTCCTGCAGGGCTCTGTGTGTGTAATTTTTTTTTTTTTTTTAACGGGGGTTCTGGATATCAAATCTTCAGGCAGAAAGTTTTCCAAACACTTGTAGTAGCAGCAGTGGATTTGAGGATGTAGTTTGTTCTTAGAGTTATACCAACCTGACATTTTCCCAAAGGCAAAATATTTAAATAAAAACAAAGAGAGTGTCAGGCTGGTAGGAGTTTTGTAAACATATGTCTAATTTAGTGTGTAAGGAAAATAAATTCCACTTGTTGGGGCCTAGGCCTGCCCTGGTTGCCACGTGGGCTGTAGCAGTTTCCTGCTGGCCTGGCTGTGTCTTTTAAAAGGGCCCAGCTGGAGTGAGCATCACTGCCTGGGGAGCAGCTGATGTTGCTGAGTAGATGACAGAGGTCCTGCAGGGGCAGATATTGCTGAAATGAAACACCTGTCCAACAGGAAAAGGTGCGTGTGCTGCGGGAAGGAACCCACATGCCTGGGATGTGAAGGTAGAGGTGGCTGGATACCAGGGGTTGGCTAAGAGCTGAAATCTTTGGGGAACAGAGAAGGTGTCAACCGCAGAGGCTGCTGTAGTATCCTAGAGCCACATGAGAGTGGCAGTGGGATGGGATCAGACCCTGTGGAGCAACCAGAGGGAGCCAGTGAATTCCAGCAGGTGTTGCAGGACCACAGAATGTGTTCTTGTAGAAAGAGTCCCCAACAGTGCCATGTCCTGCAGGTTTGCTGCAAAGGGGCCCTTGTGCTAAGCTGGTTTCTAACCATGATTCTGAAAGGTTTAAGTTAGTAGCTCTTATAGGGAAAAGCTGATGTTTATCAGATAAAGGAGCATGCTGCCGTATGGTTTTGTACTGCAGATGCATGTCCATGATTGCAATGGCTGACAGGGCCCAGTGTGGTAGTGGAGCAGGAGCTGCTCATTCAGAATGGCTCAGACTGGAGCCTGCCCTGCCTGGAGCAGAGCTCCTGTGAGATCCCAGCAGCCTGAATTCCCAGCTGGCCTCACACAGACACTGGGGCCATCCTCTTCCAGGCCTCTGTGGAGTATTTCAGGTTGCAAACAGCCCTGAGGTTTCCATATCCTGTGGGATGTGCTGAGGGATCGCTCCTTTGGTACCTGGCAGGAGAACAGCCACTGAAGCACAAACCAGCAGTGCCACATCAACTTTTGTCCAAGGGTTAAGTGCCAAAATAGGGAAGTGGAAGCTGCATAATTTTATAAATCCTGCTTTGTTGTCAAAGACCAAATACTTCCTGTTTGGGGATGCAGGGCTGTTTCCATTTCCATTGTAAATGGTGAGGGACTGCCCATAAACCTCACATTTACTTCACTATTTCTGATGCTTTCTACATGTGCTGAAACAACTTCCAGGTGGCCATGACATTTTGTCAAAAATAGAGATGGCAGTTGGGAAAGGAAAAGTAGTTTAATGTCAGCCTAATTTAAAAAGCATTTTCTTTATTGGAGTTAAAAAGAGTTGAGTACATCACCAGTGTTGCACATTTGTTGTAGAAATTCTATTTTTGTTACAAATCAACTGAGATTTCAGTGTTTTCATTCAGTTCTTCCTTAAAGACTTCATGGAAGGGAGTATTTAATTGATATGTTTTGTCTGTGAAGCCAGTGAATTAGCCACAAAGTAATCTCCATGTAACAAATACTGCTCTGCAGTAATTCCAGGTACTTGCAGCTCTCACAGGAGAAACCAAAATGTACATGTTCTGTACAAACTTGGATAGGGTAATTGAACAGTATCATTTAGTACCATAATTTACAGTAATACAGTGAACTAAAATATACAAGCTTGAAAATTTTTTTAAAAAAGGTAAAAACTTAGGGACTATTTTTTAACTATCTGAATTCAGAACTAAGATGCACCAAAATTCAAGTTGGACAAGAATGAACATCTACTGAGGAAATCCCAAATGGCCATTAAAGAGCCATGGAGTGGCAGTTCCTCCATCCAGTCACTGGAACTGTTATGGAAAATGAGTTCGTTTAGGATACTTTTTAAGGGAGTAAACCACAAAGATCAGCTGTGACACTCCTGGAGTCTGAAGAAACTCCCCCATGCCCTTTTGCCAGCCATCACTGCTGTAACAGGGGCTGTCCCTGCAGCCTGGGATGGCACAGCTGGCTCCAGCCACCCCACACATCCCAGGCTGGCACAGCTGGATCCCTCCCTACATCCCAGGCTGGCACAGCTGGCTCCAGCTCCCACCCCCACATTCTGGAGTGTCACAGTTGTTCATTAAATGTAATTTTCGGCACTAGTGTGTTTTGGAATGACTCTGCTAAACCCAGTGTGTCTCACTCTGCAGAGACCTCCTGGGGCCCAACAATCCAACCCAGCCCTGCCCACAGCAGTTACACTTAGCAGAGAATTCACAATTAGCACAGAATCTCAGAGTATGCTGAGCTGGGAGGGACCCACAAGGATCATGGAGTCCAGCTCCTGTGGGCTGGGGATTCTGCAGCTCCTCTGGGAAGCCTGAGGCCACGTCTCTGCTCCCTCAGCCAGGGCTGTCCTGCAGCCACCATGGCCCTGTCCCTGTCCCTGTGCAGGGAGAGGAGCCAGGCCTGCCCTGACAGCTCCTGCTGGAGACTCACCTGCTGCACACGGGGTTCAGCCAGCACTGATGGAGCCCTGCCTTTGGAGCTGCCCATGGAAAGCAGCCACTGCTCCCGTGGCACTGGGTTATCCCAGGCTGCTCCCACCCACCCCTCTGCAGGACTTTCCATCCTTACCATCAGTGACACCCAATGTCCCCTCACAACAGCCACAGTTCGAAACATTTCATTCCAATTCCATTCACATCCCTGGATCTGCACCTTGCAATTCCTTCCCTGGGAATGCCAAAACTCAGAGCTCAATACAAGAATAAAACTGCACCAACAGTTTCAGTAATTCAATAATTTATTCATCTAAAAAAGTGTGTAAAAGTATATAGCTCTCATCCACAAGGTATATATGAATGACATTTAAAATGGAGGTCTTTTATTATTATTGTTTCTTTTTATCAAAGTCTTTTTTTAGTGTATTGTACCAGCGATATACTGTAGATTTAAAATGAACTTCACATTTTTTTTTGTTTTCTTTCAAATTGTCGGCTATATATAAAAGAAGCTCACTGCAAAATGCTCAGAGGAAAAAAAAAAGAAAACAAAAAGAAATTCAGAACTCCCCAGAAATGTACAGCTTTTACATTTAAAAAAGGTTCTGAAATATACATACAAGCATGCTGGACATTCCCCACCCTCCCACTCCCTTTAGCTCAAACAACTGTAATAATAATTCTGATTTAGGCATGATTTTTCAAAGTTAGAAATAAAAAAAAAAAAAAATAACTTTCTTCACTCTGTAGGAAAGCCAGGGCTTGTACATTTCAGATTAATTCAGTAAAAAACTCACAAGTAAAATAATGCATATTTAAGAGAAATATTATACAGAACTTCTCACACTGAAGTACATAAGATTTTTCTTTAAAATCTATTGCCATTCATTTATTTTGCACAAAAACGTATAAATATGTCACCAGCTTCTCTTAACTTAAAAAAATTAAATAAAAGACACCAGATGAAAACTACTCCTTGCTGCCCTTTTTTTAATTTCTAATTTTTGCTTAGAACCAGGTTTGTGGGGAAGAAACGCCCCTGGATAAAAACGGCCCATTTAAAAACAATAAGGAAAATAATAATCCAAAGTTCAGATGAATCCTGGGAACAAATAACCCCCAAATGGTAAAAGATTACAAATGTCTACTTTACATTGTTTTCCTCCCCAAGTTAAATTTTTTTATACAAGTTTACAATCTTCATCTTTTTATGCTCTTCAAAAGGCCTTGAGAATTTTCTTTTCTGATTAAGAAAAAATAGTACTGCAATATTTTTAAAGTCAATTTTACACTGTACACATTAGATACAAATGGTTTGATATCAGATTTTTTTTAACCTATACATTGCAAAGAGGACACCCACACGGAGGGGTGGAGCAAGGAAGGAAATAATCCATTTACAGGTTCCTCTCCTGCCTTCACCTTCTCATTACACAAGCAATTCTTTTTTTTTTCTTTTATTATTTTATATAATTTGTTTTAAATGTTACATTATCTCAAGAAAAATACTTTTTAAAATCATAGAATTTCATTTTTTTTAACCAGAACATGAAAGTCTTTTGGAAGAACTCTAAACTTGGTAGTTTTTCTTCACAGCCAGGGGAGGGGTCACCCAGCCTGGTCCAAGTGCCTGACCCTGGCCCCCTCCTGCTGCCCAGTGCACCCCCAGAAATGAGGGAATGGGGCTGGAATAGGAATCCCTGGGAGCCTGGAATGAAGGAGTCATAAAAATACTTCAATTAGCCATTAACCTTCCCAATGGCGATCATTTCACTAAACAAAGTAACTTTGCCACCACAGCGGTGTAACTTCAAGTACTAATTTAATGATATAATTTTTAAAAATTATTTCTTTGAAATAATATTCCTATAGTCAGAAAAAATACACCAGATTTGTGACTGATTTAGTGTAAACAAAAACCGTATTTTTGGATATGTACATGGACGAGTTTGCCCAGAATTAAAGGGCAACTTGGCTTGCAGTAAATACTTTTCTAGCATCACTAAATTTACTGGAAATATATTTAAATCATAGCTTTACAATAGATTAATCTGTCACTTTCCACTTGCCCTGAACTGGGCTTTAAAGTATTTTTTCCTCCCTACCTCCCTCTCACTCTTCTCCCTTAGGTAGTGTTATCCTTCATTAAACACTGGCCATTCCTTGCTTTAACCAGGCTAAACACAGGGGAGAATTCCTTAAAATACAATATACCCTTACCAGAACATGCTTCCCTTCCCAGACTTAGATTGTTATGAGCTTCTTTTGATTTCCAGGTCAGAAGAGTGAGAGGTCTGTAGATAAATAACCCTACAGTGGAACGGAGCTGGATTTTTAAGGTATTTCTACTGTTCCTGGTCCTTTATAATTTAATCCCTCCCCTCCCCAAACCTAAAAATAAATAAAGTATCTCCAGACCATTCATATCTACATGGACAGGTAACAAATGCATGCATTCATCCCAATCCACTCTGACAGGAACTCCAGGTAGACAGAAAACTCCAATATTTATACGAGACTACAACTGTGTGGTTCTGTGTTTGTGGTTTTTTCCTCCTGCAAAGTCCCAGTTTACGACGATCAAACAAACAAAACACCTGAACTGGTCACTACAAGGTGGTTTTTACTTGGAGGGCTGACACTGCTCATGGGTCTTTATCAGTTCCTAATGCAAAAAGATCCTGTAGTCTTCCTTAAAAAAATAAAATATTAAAAAAAATAATCACGCTGACCAGCAGTTACCGAGCCACCAAACTAACACTGGCTTGAGGTTACTCTGTGTTCACTGTTCTTGGATGTTCCCAGATTTTGGACTGAAGCTGCCAGAGATGTTAATGGGTAGTTTAGTTTTGAACACTGCAGAATTCACATGTGCTTTTGGAGAAACAGAAGCACAGCACAGGACTGGTCTGAAGAGAAGCAAACGGAGCTCTTTGCAGGTCGTGGCATGTTCCCGGGCGGAGGGGAGAAGCAGCCAGAAGAACAAGTGCTTGTGTGTGTCCTACAGGATGTTCATGATGGCGTTGTAGAGCTGGGTGAGCACCACGAAGTGCACGGGCAGGCAGGAGCTGCGGTCCTGCGTGGCCGGGTTACACGTGAGCCAGGACAGGGCGTTGTACTGCTCCAGCACGAACCTGCACAGGGAGGCACAGACATCACAGCCTGCCTGGGGCTGCTAATGGCTCTCCTGCACCTACACCGTGACAGAGCTGCCAGTGTTTTGGCAAAGGAGGAACCTCACTGAAAAGCAGGAGGGTTTAGCTTTGCTATGTCTGAAGTATTTGTATGAAGGCCCTTCCAAACACACACAGATTCTGGACTCACAGTGGTTCAAATGACACTGCTGTCAAAGCCTTGGGGATTGAACACCTCTGCCTCTCTGGGCACCCTATACCAGTATTTGCTCACACTGTTCCTGTGATCCTCTATCTATTTGCAATTTCTCATCTTGTAACTTGTGTCTGTTGTCTCTCATCCTTTCCCTGTCCACTGCATTCTTGTTTTACTCAATACCTGGGACACCTGTGAGAGCTCAGTCCTCCAAGAGGACACAAATTCAGATCTTCTAGAATAGTACACCCCCAATTTCCTTAGATTAGACATTCCTGTTCCTTGCTGATCTTTGTTTGTACACTGTGATGTCCCACACTGTGTGCTCTCATCACACAGATCTGTGTCCAGTCCCCAAAGGTGGGATGGAGGCAAACAGGCCCCACATCATCCTGGACAATAAAACACACACCCTACATGCATTCAGGAACGGTGTCTCCTTTATAGCCCAATGCTAGCACAGTAGTATCAGGGAGTGCTTTTATCTCCTCCTACAAATCCACTGGGTTCCATGAGGTAAGATAATGAGTGGCATAGCTCAGATTAGATGCCAGGGGAACACAGCAATCTGGGTGGGGGGCAAACCATGATGTTCCCCTAGCAAGGCTGAGC